TACAGCTACAACCATATGACTGCAACTACACTACACTAATTACATTACACCACCAACTACAACTCCACTACGCTACAACTACAACTACAGTTGCAGTACATCACACTACATCCAGCAGTTGTGGGTGAGGTGACCACTGCAACCATTGCAACCATTCCAGCAAACACAACTCCAACCACCTTTCGGTCAATCAGTGGCTTCGCTCTGCCATCCCTGATTCACAACAACCAACTTCTCCTATAGGTTTCCTATTTTTGAAACTTCCGCCACCGCCTTGTGCGGTACTACTGGTATGAATTTAATGGGATTTTAATAAGATCTTAGTAGGATTTTAGAATGCCGGTTTATCAATCTGGGTTAAACATTACCCTCAGGAATTCAACTGTTTGATTCACACTGACTTCCCTCAAAAAAAAATGGTGATGTTCCATAGCTACGTCTACGTTGAATTACCAGAAGGTATACGGTATATTTAATGGGCTGATTTGATGGGATTTAATGGAACGAGATCTAGTGACTTTTAATGGGCCTGCTGGAGCTGTTTTTTGTTTTTTTTCCTACCAGAGGGAATCTATACAGGATTTCTTAATTTTGATGTTTATAAGCAAAGCAAATCCAATGAAGTGCCGTGGATATGGTGGGATGAGGATGGGATGATGGGATCGGACGGTGGAGGGGGTACATCACAAGATACGAATTGTTCTGATGTTTGGCTTGGATTCTTGGGGTATGTTTTCGGATTTCATGATGTTGGCAACGGGGCACGTGGAAGTGAACCCAAAAATCAAATTTTCAAAAATCAAATCACAAAAAAATAATTATATAAGTTGCCCTAAGATCCGCCAAGTCCTTGTCCAAGTCCCATATATTTCATATGTTTTTTGGATTTCTTTGGTTCGCTCCAGCCTTTTCACCGGTTTTTCCACCGCAGGCGCCGTGGTCCCGGTGATTTTGGATGTGACCTTGGAGGACACCGTGGTCACAGCGGCACGCTTCATCCAGGAGGAGCAGCGGCCACTGGTGGGCCTGGTGAACTGCGCGGGGCTCTCCCGGCGCTTGCCGTTGGAGCTGGAACCCATGGAGGCGGTAAAGGAGTTGTATGAGGTGACCCAACTGAGGGTAGGGGGGGATGAGATGTTGTTGGGGGGTGAGGGTGGGGGGTGAGATTTTGGGGGTTCGGAAGTGTTCCGTTCACTTTTTCGGGGCTGGACACCATTTGACAACGGATTCGGGATGGAGGAGTGTCACGTGGTGCAACCAGTGGCTACCAACATCTTGGGGGTGCAGTCCTACTTATATAGGATGTTGTAAGTGGACACACCAGCTCTATTTATTAATTATTTGGGCTATATTTATCCCAACTTATGGAGGTTAGAGTCCCATGGTTACCCCATCTTCACCCCTGGGTGACGATTGAGGTGAACGTCTTTGGTGTGACACGTGTGGTCCAGCACTTTCTGGAGATGCTGCGGTGCTCCAAGGGACGGATCATCAACATTGGTTCAGCGGCTTGGACCAGGTGGCGGTTCAATAATCCCATCCCTCTAATATTAAACATCCCCCAATGGTCCCCTAATCATTAAATGAATTTAAAGGGTTCCAACTATATATATATAATATATATTATATATATATAGATAATCATATATAATTATATGTATATATATATTAATATATATTTGTGTGTGTAGAATCCCCCTGCTAAACCATGGTTTTTGGGTTTGTGTTTAGTACTAGTGGATGGGATTAATCCCACAAAAGTGGGGAACATGAACATCTATTTGTTTTGGATTTTCATGGATATTATTATGGATATTATTTCATGGACATTAGGAAAGGATACCGTCGGAAATCCCATAAATTAGAGGTCTATAGCTTGAAAATCATGAATACCCTCTGGTAATTTAACATAGCTATGGAAAATCACAATTTTTAATGGGAAAATCCACTATAAATGACCATTTTCAATAGCTATGTTAATTTACCACAGGGTAAATGGTCGATTTTCCAGCAAGCCAGGTTCGATTGCCAGAGGGTAATTACCACAATCAAGCCTTTAGCATATGACCGCTGATCTGCCTTTTCGGCGCGATGGAAGGAAATTACGATAAACATATGAGTAATCGACAAGATTAGCTAAAGACTAAAGTAGTGGTAGTGGACTCGCGATGTTCAAATTTGTCTTAAAAACCTTCACAACCCATAGAGAGCCACCCACTTAGCGATACCATATTTTTACACATAGCATGGAATCATGGAAGTACTAACCTTCGCAACCGATGGGAACCACCCACTTTGGCAATGTCCATTGCGAGTAGTAAGTAATTTTGTCCGCCACTCATATATGTTTTAGTTAAATCTACTTCAACAAGCTACTGTATATGTTCGTCTCTTTCGATATTGTTGTTTAATCTAGGGGTCTAAAGAGGCCAGCAATCTTCGGGCATGGTGGGATTTTTTCTTGCTAAACCTTGGACGGTGAAAATGTCATTGGATTCCTGTGGGATGGCCAGAAACCAGTAATATCATGTTTTGACACTCGTAGATTATACAGTCAAACACCTGTGGTATAGAGATGGTTGGTCCATAAATAATGTTACAAACATGTTCACTGGTGCACAGTTACTGATTACACAGTTTGATGAATGTTGTAACACCAATGTTGGCAATCCAAGTCTGCTAAGTGCTCGTGGAAATACACACCCAATCATACCCAATAATCCCAGAACCACATTTCAGTCAACATCCCAAGTAATTATATAAAATTATGGATAATCCAGTCAGAAACCCTGTTTGAGCAAGAGCAAAAATGTATCTAAGATCATGAATTCAAATCAGAGTTTTCACCAAAGCCTGAGGTTTTCCCAATCAAGACCAAACACAAATTGTATCTACGATACTTAACACTTAAAACCAATAATTCCATATCATATACCCCGTGGAGCAATTTATAACTTATATGACTCATATCAAATTGTCCCTGAATTTGCCTGCATAGTTAAAACATAAACCAGTCCAAGTAATAGATAGTCATCATCATGACATAAACCAATCCAAGTTTATATGTGTTTTTTGATCTTAGATACACATATATACACATCATTAAAACACACATAGGCCAATCTAAGTTTTGCATGTGTGGATATCCACCACTATAATTACACCATATTTTTTTTGTAATTTGTGGATATCCACCACTCAATCATTATGTTTTTTCGTCGCCATTCAATGGCCGTTTCAGGCACCTAAACTGGAGCTACTGTCCCATATAAAGCCACCGAACTTGAGGGTAGATCCATAATTTATCCATGATTCATGATGAATATCAAAAATTGTGATGTTCCGGTTCGCTCGGTGAAATAAGCCACAATTTGGGGGTATATACCATAGATACCATATATTTGGATACTTGTACCATATAAATGCATACAATTTGAATCAATTGGATAGGGTATATCATACATATCCCATTAGATCCCACTAAATCACAATTGTTGTTGCCCAAATCCCGTGAAATCTAATTAAATCACCAGTAATTTCCATGCACATGCCATAAATCACTAGAAAATCCCATAAAATCCAGTAAAATCACTGTAAAAATCCCCTTAACCCTTCCACTCCCCCCCCTCCCGTGTCCATTGCCAGGTGGCGGCCCTGCTGCCGCACCGCGGCAGTAGCAGCTACAGCGGCAGCAAGGCGGCGCTGGAGATGATCACGGACACGCTGCGCTTGGAGCTGGCGCCCTGGGAGGTGCCGCAGCCCTCACTAAGTCACTTAAGTTATAGCCAAATGGGTATGGGTCAATACCTATAGATACCTATTTTTAGTGGGATGAACATCCATTTTAACCCAGCTATGACTTGGGGTTCACTAGGTACCAGGGTTTTGACCCATCCCCAAATAGGACATTTAGGAGATATCCGGCTATGTAGATCTATTTAGATCTATGTATGTAGTCTCCAGATAGCGTATGTAAACTGGATTAATCTCCACAATACCCTAGCTATGGATCATTTGGTTATCATGCACAAGGATAGAGTTTGCCAGGCCACTGGAGCAATCGGCATGCTTTCAGGGCTACTTCGGATGACCGTTTTGAATACCTTCTGGTAATAACCATGGGAAATTAATAGTTATTCCCATCATTAACCATAGTTCATGCGATTAACCATTTCTTTTTTATTAAGTCTGAACTCCCAGCTTTCCAGCTGACCCATTTTTCCGTTGACCATCGTTGACCCATCAGATCTCGGTGAGCATCGTGGAGCCGGGCTACGTGAAGACGCCCCTGGCAGCCAAGCAGATGGGCGACAACGCCCCGTGGCGCCAGGTGGATCCTGTGAAGCGCCAGTAGCGTGGCAGCGTTGTTTGTTGAACGACGTGGGGCCCGGGGGTAGCGGGGGACTGGAAAAGATACCCTCCGGTAAACTAACATAACTATGGAAACTCACCATTTTTATCAATTGTTTAAGAGGTAAATCAACTATAGATGGCAATGTTCAATAACTATGTTGAATTACCAGAGGGTAACAATTGGAGAATTTAATAATATAGACATATAATGACATTAATATGCACATCTTTGATAAACAAGAATGTGCAATAATGTGCACATTAGCTTCTAAACGGTGTTTGGGAATATGGCTAATATTGGATAAACAAATCAGACATGTGATAACCATTGGTGATCATGACTTAAAACTGCATAATTGTTAAGAATCAATAATAAGATATTTAATGGGGATACCCCTCTGGCAATCAAACGTGGCTGGCTGGGGAATCCATACGTGGAGGTGTGCAAGGGGCATTCATACATGTTTCTTTTCCATTGCCATGTTTGATTCCCAGAGGGTATGCCTGGGCATGCAGGATATGTAATTGGATCATCATGGCATCTTGTGTTGGTGGTTTCGAACATGATTTTAATGTTCAACCCATTTGGAACATGGTCTGGGTGTTGCCAAGTGACGAACTGTTTTTTACTTGTTTGGCATGGGCTGAAACCACCTACAGTACTAGATTCTTTTTTGACCCATTGTTTGCAGACTATGTTTATAAAGTTTGGTGATTTTGGTGAACGGTGAAGTTCAAAGCATGGAAACTTGTTTCGTAACCTGCCGGGCAAAATTGTTTGTTCGAGGTGGTGTGTGTGTGTGTAAGAGAGACCTTTAGGTACCATTGTGTTCGGACTAGTTTCAATGTTTTTAGCGTTGTTAACGCTTTAATGTTTTTAAATGATTTCAAAACATTAAAAACATTAATCCCCAAAAAGGCTTTCGTTTTTAATGTCTTTAATGTGTTTAATTCCAAAGCTGCAAGTCTCAGATCTGGGATTCTGGAGCCTCTATGCTTTTAATGTTTCAATGATTTTATATAATTGATAACACATTAAAAACATTAATCCCCCAAGAGGCTCTTGTTTTTTTGTTATTAATGTTTTTAATTGATTTAAACACATTAAATACATTAAATTAAAAACATTAAACAAACAAAGAAGCTCCAGAATCCCAGACTTGAGACCTGTGAGCTTTGAATTAAAAACATTAAAAACATTAATCCCCCAAGAGGCTTTTGTTTTTAATGTTTTTAATGTGTTTAAATGATTTGAAAAGAGTAAAAACATTAATCCTTCACACACACGCCATTGGTGGCCGATTGTTGAAGACATATTCATGTCAACGCAGGTGCAAACCCTAGGCAACGATTTGCTCTCCAGCCTTGAACACAACGACGAGTTTATGTCTTTATCAATCGATTGCACTCTTATGTCTATCCAGGGCCAAGCCTCTCATAGACCTTCATCAGCCGTGCGGAATGCAGCGTGCTTCGATGACGCACATTCTTTGCGCCGGGTGTTGACCATCAGAGGTCGCACCGGCGCTGTGGTGGCCATGCACCCGATACCGCGGGAGGACTCAGACCAAGTCGCCGAGGCCATGGATACTTTATTTGTGCGTGTCCCTAGACCCTGTGCATTTGGCCATTGTTTATGAGCACGCTCAGTGGGGCAAAAGGTCGCCAGGTTCAAAGGTGTTGAGGCGACTGCTCCGGAAGTTCAGGTGGATTCTGCCAGGAACCTTGTCTCCTGGGGTTCTTTCTTCACTGGCACCTTGGGCCTGCCAGCTTGAACCGGGAGGAAGGGAAAGCCCGCCAAGAAATTTTAGACGGCAGTATGGGGCAAGGGAGGGCAAAGCTCATCCTCGAAAATGTTGACCCAGATACACCTTTCTACTCGAAAGTTACTTTTATTGAGGGTCTGGCCGCAATTTGCCGATGCTTCCCAGAAGAAGTAGGTCGAAAAGTCACTGGCTCCAACAAGGAAGTTGCCAAAGTTTTGTGGTCCGCAGCGGCGTTGGAGAGGTTGGAGTGGCTGTTCAACAACCTTAGAATCTGGCATGCCATGACGCCACTGCAGAGAGCCTTATTGCCAAGTGGCACCGCTTCGAATGAAGCGCTGCATGCAGAACGCATGGAACAGAGCCAACAGGATGCTGCACCAAAGCACCTTGCGGCTCAAATTGCGCATCATGCAGTTTGTGAAGCTACTTGGTGGATGGCTTTGGTCTAAAGCATTTGCAAGTAACATGTAACCTAGTTGTAAAGTATTTACAACCCTAGTGTAACTGAAGCTAAGTAAGCTAAGTTTCTATCTTACTTTACGGTAGTTGTAAGTATTTACCAAAGATAAACTAAATAGTTAAATGTTAAAGTTTTTTTGAGTCAGCAAAAAACAAACCAAACTAATTTATAAGTAACTTAGGAAACTTAACTTTTTTGGATTTTAAAAGCTATTATTTTTGTCTTGGAACAAAATCATCTAAAAAGCAAGGTTTGGGTTGGAAACGAATTAAAAACATATTTTTTGCTTTTTGACATTTTTGTCGGCAGGCGGCTCTATGAGAAGCCTATCGGGGAAAAATATGTGATGCTGAGTCTTTTTGTTGATATGTTATCCTCTTCTCGTTTGGACAGCAGGGTGGATACGAAGTAAAAAGCGTTTGGGCTCTTGGAAAGATCATGAGGCCACAGCCTTTGTGATGTGTGTATAAAGCCTTTTTAATAGAATTGGAGGTTATGGCGGTTCATTGGACCGCCTGTACATCAAGGGTATTTACATTGTTGGGGCTACATGAAGAAACACAAAGCAGCAACAAGGAGAAGAAAAGCAAGAAGAACGGCAAGGGCAAGAAATGAGATGTCAAGTCAGCTTTCCAACTTTAAAAAAGACTTTTCAGTTTTGATCTTGACCGAAGCCTGAGAGAAAATGCGAATATGACTGCAAAAGCATATCATATTTAAAACACAACATACAAAACACATTTCTACACATTTTTACACATGTGTAAGTGTTTTTTTGCTTACACATGTGTAAGTGTTTTTTTGCTTACACATGTGTAAGTGGTTTTTGGTTTACACATGTGTATTTTTTTTGGTTTACACATTCTTACACATCCTTACACATCTATACGCATCCATACACATTCAGACATATTGTAGTCTTTTTGGTTCATGCTTTCGTACAATGACATCATATGATATACTTAATTAAATCCTTCGAAATGACTGCGGTCCAATGGACTGCATATCTTCTTGCATTACTTGCAATGAACTTGCGCGTGATAAGCATGTCTATTGATTAAAAAGTGCGGCCCACTGGATCGCATACCTTTAATTCTCTGGTCAATCAAAAACATATTGTTGCGATTTATGTTTCATCAAGGGAAGTAGCGGCTACCGACATCCGTGGATGTTCTATCCCGCGGCCCTTTGGGCAGCAACTGTCTCATTCTATATTTTTTGCAAATTAAGATTGTCCAACCCAAAGCACAAAAACATCATCATACTTTCAAGTGCAGCAAAGAAATTCGAAGAAAACTTACGAAACAAAGGTTTCTTCAACACAAAAAAAAATGCAAAACGCAATGATGAAGAAAAAACTGCAAAAATACATTTCTTTTCATGTTCAAAACAGCTTCCTGTAACGGCTGCTGCTTAAATTTCGACGCACGTCAGTGACTAACACTCATTCGGGCGCGTCAGCCTCCAGTTCTCTCGTGCCACACAAGTTAGGCTTTCGCATGCTTTCCATACTTCTCAATACCCAGAAGCGCATTTCTATCGAACAAGACCGAATGTGGTTAAGCGCTTTCTGTAAGTTAAGTTTTGGTCCTGCGAGAGAAACTTTCATGGAAAATAGTGTTCCTCCTGTCCTTTGCTAGTACTTGAATTTTGACGAGCCTTTTACCTTCATCTACGTGGATCAACCAAGATCAGAGAGTTGACAGAGCTGGTGTGCAAAGACTGGCTACAATCGCGCGCTTGTGTGCCATAAGTGTGTTGCGGAACCCAACAAAAACTTTCATGGAAGATAGTGCTCCTCCTCTCCTCTCCATTGCCAGCCATTGGATTGTCATGGGCCTTGTGCCTGAGACTTGACAGAACCAGTGTGCAAACACTCGCTGCAATCGTGCGTTTCTGTGCCCTAACTGTGTTGAGCAACCCAGCCAGAACTTTCATGGAAGATAGTGCCCCTCCTCTCCCTTGCCAGCAATTGGGTTGTCATGGGCCTTCTCCCAAAGAGTTGTCAGAACCGGTGTGCAAACACTGGCTGCAACCGAGCACACATGTGTGCCATGAGTGTGTGGATGCGGAAACGCGCTATATAGTTATGTATCAGCGCGCGCGCGATATAGACCCAAAAGTCCCTACCACATATATATATATATATATATATATGTATATATATATATATACATACATATATACATATATATATATACATATATATTTATTTATTTATTTATGTATTTATTTCAGGTAAGTCTACAGTAGAGTCCACAGGAGGCTGGGTTCCATATATATTTTTGGATGATGACATTTTGATGATTGTTGTTGTTGGTGGAGTATTTCAAGTCAGGAATCACGACTGGATCACCATTGTGTTCATGGTTTCGAGACATCATCATGTGCTGGCAGCAAAGGGCAATGCTGAAACAGCAAGAGAAAGCATCTCGTACTCATCCCCTAAAACATAAGTCGGCTTCTCTACGTCTCCATGGTGATCTCGATTACATACCAAGATTGTTAGTTGCTGAGTCAACTGATAGATTTTTTTGGTTCAAAAAGATTGAAACATAAAGCCAATAATCTGACATATTTGAGATGGCTATGCATCATTGTTTAAGATGTTATCACAGATGTTGGCCGGCCATGTTCAAATACTTTTAGTATTCTAGTGGCATTAATCATTATATATTTTTGGGTACCCATGTTTGACCCATTCCCATATAATAATAATAATATATATATATAACAATGAGTTATGGTGATATATTCCCAGAACTCGTTTCATCCTTTTTTCACACCCCAGTGTTCCTGGTTGAATGGTTGAATCCACCTTTGCCCGCGTGAAGAATCTACATTCTTCACCTTTAAATCCACATGTTATTTTTGTTTCATCGTTACATTCAGAGGTGTCATGCTAAAAGATCACTTTCATCTCATGGTCTTCCTATGTTTTTCTCCCATGTTATGTTTTCCCATGGCTGTCCCACTTTTCCCTTGTTTTTCCTATGTTTTCCCATGGTTTTTCCCATCCACCGCCCATCTCCAGGTGGTACCAGGACTGGATCGACAGCGCCGATCGCAGCCGCCAACAGGCGCACGACTTGGCGCCGGGGCCGGAGGTGACCAGCGCGGCCATCCTGGACGCCTTGAGGAATCCAAAACCCAAGACGCGTTGCGTGGACGAATGGGATTTAATGGGATTTTACAGTGATTTAATGGGATTTAATGGGATTTTATAGTGATTTAATGGGATTTTAATGGGATTTTATAGTGATTTAATGGGATTTAATGATATTTGAATGGGATTTAATGGTGATTTAATGGTATTTGAATGGGATTTATAGTGATTGAATGGGATTTTATACCTTAATGGATTATGATTATATGGGTTATGTGGATTATCTATGGATTAGGATAATATATGGCTGAAATATGGATTAGATTCATATTTCCTGGTTGGTGGTTTGGAACATTGTTTTTATTTTTCCATATATTGGGAATAACATGAATGGTTACCCTCTGGTAAACGTTTAATTACATAACTATGGAAAATCACCATTTTCAATGGGTAAATCCACTATTTCTATGGCCATTTTCAATAGCTATGTCAGTCATTACCAGAGGGTATATGATATACCATCAATGGATTAACTAAGGTTATGGACTCTAGTAATGACAAGAGGCAAAGATTGCATGGATTATGATATATTAAAGATGGCTGATTAAATATTCATGATTGTGGGCAATGATTAACATGGATTATATAGATCTATTTAGATATGTGATTGTATGGATTGACCATGGATTAAATAGATTATCTATGGATTATATTTTTTAATATTTTTAAAGATGATGATTGAATATGATTATATATATTAATGGATCATCATGATATTGATTTTATATTATTGATTCATGTTAGTATGTTTTTTTTGGATTAATGATATTATATGATTTACCTTAATATGATTTATGTCAATGGATTAACTAAGGTTATGGACTATATTGATGACAATGGGTAATGATTAATGGGTGATTAACATGGGTTAAATATATTCAGATATAAGATTAAATTATATGGGTTAACCATGGATCAATTATTAATATTAGATATCCTTGATGAATGTAATTAATCGTATCAACCATTGATTAAATGGATTGTAAATGGATTATGGTGATATATGGATTAAATATGAATATGATTATCAAAGATGATGATTAAATATTAGTATATATATATATATACGGGTTACCATAGTATTGTAATATGGACCCATGTTAATATGAATGATATGGATTAATAATATTTTTTGATATACCTTAATATTATTTTTGGCAGTGGATTAACTACGCTTATGGGCTATATTAATGACAATGGGTAATGATAAATTTATGATTAACATGTTATATATATATATATATATTTGATTGTATGATTATTGTAGGGATTATCATGTCATGATTTTCATGATATGAACATATTAATAATCATACTAAGGTATGTTTAAGTATCCCTGCTGCCTCAACTTACATTTTTGAGGTCCCGGGGGGTCCAATCCAAGGGCCTAGGGATGTTAAGGTTATTAACACGTTGCATGGATTATATATTTTAAGCAATGTTGACTATATCATGATAAACAATTTAAGCATATTACAGTATAAGTATAACGCGTTGCGTGGATGAACGTTATTTGACAATAACATGAATGCTTGAGATGTTAAGGTTGTTAAGCATTCTTAAGCATGAATATGACCTCAATTTAACAATCTTAAATATCCCAAATGTGTCTGAAAATTTGGTATTTTTCCCAGTTATGTCTATTTAATAGATTAACATAGGGAAAATGATGATTGACCATCGGATCATATGGGATAGGATCTGGGTTACAGTATGAAAATTTTGGCGAATGGTAAAGAATGGTCATGTATAGATGGCTTATGAGGACCTACTTACAAACGTTCAAAAGGGTTACCCTCCAGTAAATTAGCATGACGACCCGGCCAGTTTTCGGGGTTAGAAGATAAATCTCCACTAAAAACTTGTTATTTTCGGGGTCTTTATGTTAATTTACCAGACTAATGGTTCTGTGAATGTTGAATGGTTAATATAATGAGATACTTGATGGTTGATACTGGTCAACAATAATAGTTATATAATAATCCTTTCCCCCTATTCTAAACCCCCCAAATAAATCCAAATAATAAAAACTAGGGTCCGTCTCCAATTTTGGAAAATTTCAGGTTGGCCAATTTGATTTTTAATTGATCCCCTTTAGAAAACAATGTAAAAATGGAGCTACCATTTCAGGGTTTCACCCCTTAAAAATAAAAACTAGTCAACCCCGGGATGTTTTTTATTAGGGTCCGATTTTTTTGGCCGAAACAAAAATATTTTGCATTAAGGTTTTTAATTTGATATTAGGGGAAAGCTTCGAAAACATGTTTTTGGCATTTTAAAAGGAAGTCGAACCGATTTTGAAATAGAAGTTTGTTTATATTAGGGTTTTAAATTTAGTATTATGGAACCTTCGCACCCCAACAACAAATATGGCCCCTCAAAAAAAACTACCTGAGGTGTTTATTATTTGAGGTGAACAGATTAGTTGCAAATAAGAATTCATAGTGGCTATAGTAATGGGGATAGTGATGGGGTTCTGGGTCAATGTTGTTCAATCCCAACCGCACGCTGTTCGTTTCATCTGCTTCTTCCGTTGGGATGGTTTCAGCTGTTGGTGCTTTACCCGGTAGGTCAAACGTGGCAACTGGAAATCCCCGAAGTCAATGGAGGTCTTAATGGGAAGAAATCAAATCTATATCAAACATATATATATATATGTATAATTGGTGGTGTGGAACTTTTTTCCACAATATATGGAATAATGATCCCAACTGACTAATATTTTTCAGAGGGGTTGAAACCACCAACCACAAAAAAAAATATATGTATATATATAAATGGTGGATTTTCCGGCACACCATGTTTGATTACCGGAGGGTAATGTTGTTCAATCCCAAGGGGAGTAGCGTCTTTGGGGGGTTGGGGCTTGCTATGGTTTGCTTCACATGAGCCGGGTGGAGATTTGAAGCCACATGTGGTTTTGAGCAAGAAAATACCGCATATACCGAATACCATTGGAATGGATTTCATGAAGAACTTAAATTGCCAAATTGAAGATGCAAATTGTCTTCCACAATTCATTTTTTGGGAACACCGGGGGATGGGTGGGGAAGCAAGGGTGCCTCATCAGTTCCTTGAAAGGTGGTGAATGGCCGAGGTTATGTCGTGGCCAACGTGAAGCATTTTCCCGCCTGGACGTTGACCACTTTGGCCTGGCTCCTACCAGATCGAATCAAGGACTTGATCGTGAAAAAGTTTTGAAGTGAACGGAACCGCAAACGAAGAACATCGAAGAACCATAGCTTTGGTGGATATCGGATGATGCTTCCAAGATGCTACATAAACCATGCACCTGTCCATTCCGTTTCTATTGATACACTGGGGTGCCAAAAAAACTGGCCGGTCGTTTGGACTGCTGCGGTGGAAAAGCCCTTTCTGCATCAGGGTCAGTGGCGGGATTGGCGAAGATTTGGTCGTAGACAATGTGGTTAAAACAATGTCATAAACTACCTATGACTGGGAATGGTAACCATACCACTTTTAAACATGGTGATGACTGTGTGATTGTTTAGGATTGTTTTGACCACATTATGTTAAATTGTGGCTCTGCTTTGTTCATATAGGCCAGGAGAGGGTACACATGGCTGGAATTGAAATTGGCTAAGAATGACATGTCCAATAGTCAGAACGCCTGATCATATCATATGTTATGGAAACCCAACGCTGTCAACTGATATGATTCGGGATTCAAAACAGCTCAAAATAGTTGAGGCCAGCCATGTTGACATTTATGAGTTTTGAAATTGTGTTTTATTGCCTTTTTTAATCCCCTCCCCCCTGATATCAAATAATTGCCCGCAATTTAGGGACCCAAAGATGAATCAACCCAATGCGCTTAAACCAGGTTTTCGATTGGGAGCATACTTGGTATAACCCAAAGTTTGTTGCATAACAACCGAAAGTCTCCCATACTCACCCGGAGTTTGTTCCCTTTGCCTACTGATGTGCATCCAACTTGGGCCACTGGCCTACGGCGCAGGCAGGAAGATTTAGAGAAGTCAGCCATCAACCAGGCGCAACCATGTAGCAACCCCAAAATATGGTAAGTTTCACTAAGATAGACACGTATAGGAACGGTACAATTTACCACAATTGCTTGAATCGGAATTTACTCTTCTATTTTGAGGGGGTTGCAATATTAATTATATTATATTATATTATATTAAATTAAATTATATTATATTATTATATATTATATATATATTACAGTATTATGATTGCATTTCTATATATATATATAATATACATATTTTATTGTTGTTTAAGACATTGAATTTTACATTATGTGTATATGCATATGTAATCTATGTATGTACATATATATGTATATGTGTGTATATATATATGTGTGTATATACATATATATATATATGTACATATATATATAGATGTATATACACATATATATATATAGCCCAGATATATGTTAGATGTTTTACATACATTTACATACGCTGTGCTCCAGTTCCATTGGCCGCAAAAAGAGATCCGATGAGTCGACAAATGGATTGGTTTTCCGAAAAGGGAAAATCGCAGGAAACCATGGGATGTTCCCATGAAGATCATGGCGGTTTCCTTAATATGATTATCTATGGGTTATGATAAAATATGGATATATTATCCTCCTTGGAAAAATCTATAAAATAGATCACCTGGGGGTACGATTCTATAGGGATGAGGCTGGTAGGCCAGTGTTTACTATAGAATGGTACCTGGATTGCGCCCATGCAGTTTACATACCCAAAAGTGACACCAAACTTGAGGCATTGCAAACCCAGTTTTCTATTCTATAGGGGGTCTTTTTCCTAATCACTTGGACTCAGGTTTTCATTTTATAGTGGATTGTTTGTTAGATTTTGTTACAAGCAGTCGCCAGTATGATTAGCCTCATTCTGGCCACCGCTTCTAACAAATAATCCACTATAGAATGAAAAACTGGGTCCCAGTGATTAGGAAACATGCCCCCTACAGAATAGAACCCGCTATTTCCAAGGCCCAAAATGTGGTTCACGTTTGGGCTAGCACCTTTCAAAAATCCTTGGGAACCATTTTTAGAAGAGTGGTTGGATCTCCATTTTGTAGGAGCAGCCCTGCACAAAACTGATTCGTTAACAGTGTTGACCACTTATTCGTTTACAATATGTTTCAATATTTTACAGTTTTATTGCCCACTGACACCTCCCCTTCCACTCCTATAAAATGAAAACCCAGCCTCATACTGGCCACCGCTTCAAACAAATAATCCACTATAGAATGAAAACCTGAGTCCAAGTGATTAGGTGCCCCCTATAGAATAGAAACCGCTATTTCCAAGGCCCAAAATGTGGTTCACGTTTGGGCTGGCACCTTTCAAGCAAAAAAATCCTTGGGAACCATTTTTAGAAGAGTGGTTGGATCTCCATTTTTAAAGGAGCAGCCCTGCACAAAACTGATTCGCTAACAGTGTTGATTACTTATTCGTTTGCAGTATGTGTCAATATTTTACAGTATCATACAGCATTTACAATATTATTGCCCACTGACACTTGGACTCAGGTTTTCATTCTATAGTGGATTATTTGTTAGAAGCGGTGGGTATGAGGCTGGGTTTTCATTTTATAGGAGTGGAAGGGGAGGTGTCAGTGGGCAATAATATTGTAAATACTGTATGATACTGTAAAATATTGACACATACTGCAAACGAATAAGTAATCAACACTGTTAACGAATCAGTTTTGTGCAGGGCTGCTCCTTTAAAAATGGAGATCCAACCACTCTTCTAAAAATGGTTCCCAAGGATTTTTTTGCTTGAAAGGTGCCAGCCCAAACGTGAACCACATTTTGGGCCTTGGAAATAGCGGTTTCTATTCTATAGGGGGCACCTAATCACTTGGACTCAGGTTTTCATTCTATAGTGGATTATTTGTTTGAAGCGGTGGCCAGTATGATGCTGGGTTTTCATTTTATAGGAGTGGCAGGGCTTCTGTTGGTTTTCTTGGGTTTCTATTCTATAGGGAAAATCCCCCCCCTTAGTCCTGGGTTTCGAATTCCAACAGGGATGATATATTATTGTATATGGATGAGATATATGATTAGACAATGTATGATTGTAGTGAATGATTACCCGGCCTGGTAAACGTTTACAAAAAACTATGGAAAGATCACCAGCATTCTTTTAGGGGTAAATCCACGATTTCGACTGGGCCATGTTCAATAGCAAAGTGTTAGTCATTGCCAGAGGGTCATCCATTCAATGAGTGTCATCGATTTCTCAGCTTTTGTCCATGTGGCCCATTTCTTTCTTGCGGGATCTAGGCTCAAAGCTAGCGAGGCTGTAGTATCTTATATATATATACATATATGTATATATAAATATATATAGCCATCCAGATCATCCAGGAGAGGTGAACAGGTGGAAGTGGGCTTGTCTCAAGTTTAGAAACCCCAACATCCAATGCATTATCAAAGGATGAAATTGATCATTACCTCACGTTGTGAGGTCGCTGGAATGATGGGACTATTTCAAGTTAGTGACTCAGCCAGAAATTAGTGACTGTTACCATTTCAAGATTCCCTAATAACAAAAAAATAAAAGTAACGTTCTGTTGGAATCGATGATGGTCCTTGCCGCCATGCTACCGACATTTCCGGCGCATCAAACTCCCCTGGCACTTGGACCCAGATGGGCTGGCCGGCCTCCAATGAGGCGAGTTGCGGCTGCCGAAGATGAATTAATGCCATTCAATTGAATTATGAACTACAATAAAAAGGGTTGTCAGAGATGTTCATGCCATAATTAATCAAATCATGGTGAAGAGGTAGAGTTTCAACTACAGGAGTTTGAACATGTGTTTTTTACTAAAAATTCTGTAGTTGTTACATGTTTTTACCATGAAAATCGACCACGTGTTTTCCGGGTTTCCCCGGTTTCCCTTGGACTTGCCAGGCGCCTTCCAAGAGCAGCGACCAACAGTTTGCCGCTGAGAGACGTAAAGCCCTGGACATGGCTGCAGGGTCTCGGCGCGGCGCGGCTCATCTCCTGCTGTGCGGCTTGGCGTAGTGAGTTCACCTGCAGAAAAGGTCAGGTGAAACTGGCCACGTTTTTTGTAGGAAAAATACTTACGGTTCATCTTGATTCAACCTTTTTGGGCGGCAAGGCCTTGCCTGGTGGAGTGAGCTGGATTCGTGCATATTTTCATGGTATTGGTTTGATTAGTATTGTGTTATTTTACTTATTGTGTATATTATAAATAATAGATAACCAAACTAATTTTATATGTTATGTTATTTTTTGGTCTCACCTGAAAACGGGTTGTTGTTGGGGGGATGGGGGTTCATGGTGTTGACGGTGACTACAGATGTACATTTTTTGTGTTTAGGACTCGCAATGATAATCCCGGTTGTTATCAAAGAAGCACAAGACGAGACTTTGGGCGATTGATATTTGGGTCAAAATCGGGTTCCCCAATCATTGATTGGTTAATACTAAAGTAAACTCAAATCTGTGGTTTTTCAGGCCTTTAGCCTTTAACCCATACCCATATGGTGGTTTCCTGAACAGAAGGTTGCGGGTTTCCAGAGCGTTTCGGGATGACTAAAGGCTTCAGATACTGTATGTCGGGCTGGTTGGCCAATAGTGATGATAATAAGAGTGGATAATTCAGGAAAAACACGCCAATGATATAACAAGCAAATAGGATTCACAACAGCAATAATGATATCTAGATAATTCTATTTATTAACATTTGAGTCCAGTCAGTGACAGGAGGAATCATTCAGCAAGTTGTTCAATGTGTTTCATGCCATGGCCCGCATGGCCTAGGTCATTTGGTCTGCATGTTGGTCTGTGTGCCGCAGAAGTTATTTGACCACCTCCGTGCTAGTCTCGCGACTACTGCTACTGATCTATGGCATTATCTTCTGGTCCCTGTGACCCGGCTGAAATCTGATACAGAAACCATCATATAATTGATGACATATCATAGCCATATTGGATCATATTATCATATTCAATAACCATAACATGATAATATGATATGTTGAAAACGGCACTGACCAGACTACGACATAATACTGTAAGCAAGTGCAAGAATAAAACATGACAACCATTCAGGCCAATGGTCAAGGATAGTCTGATATGGTCAATGATATGATATGACAATAGGATAGCCCTACGGTTGATGAAGGTCAGTGGCATCATCTTCAGGGCCACCTGGACCGGGCTTCGCTTGCGAACATCCCGTAAAGCAATCCAATGAGACTTGCTAGTTGGTGAACATTAAACTGTTTCTTCAAATGTTGTTGTTGTTGCTGTTGTTGTTGTTGTTGTTGCTGCTGCTGTTGTTGTTGTCGTCGTCTTGGTTGTTTGTTGTTTGTTGTTGGTTGTTTGTTGTTGGTTGTTGGTTGTTGGTCGCTGATCGTTGGTTGTTGGTTGTTGATGGTTGGTTGTTGGTGGTTGATTGTTGGTTGTTGGTTGTTGGTTGTGGTTGTGGTTGTTGTTGTTGTTGTTGTTGTTGTGGTTGTTGTTGTTATCGTTGTCGTTGGTTGTTGTTGTTGTTGTTGTTGTTGTTGTTGTTGTTGTTGTTGTTGTTGTGGTTGTGGTTGTGGTTGTGGTTGTGGTGTTGGTTGGGTAAGTGGGTGGGTGGATGGGTGGGTGGGTGGGTTGGTTGCTGCTGCTGCTCCTGTTGTTTTAACGACTGTTTCCACGTGTGTTTCTCTTCAATGTTTAGTGTTTTCAGACCGCGGGTTACTTTCCGTTTTGGTAATGGTGACCATTTCGAACATGTTTATCCATAGAATCCCCAAGAGGCCCCGGTTGGCTGTGTCTTAAAATTGGGTAACCCCCTTCCATAGCAATGTTATATCATGGTGATCATTTTATGACAAACCATGGCCCCCTTTGGATTTCGGGCACCCTGTGGCAACACCAGTGATGGCATCGCAGCATCACGGATCCCCACAGTTCTGTTCGACTTAGATCACAGCATCCTGAGAGTACTCGCATACTGCAATTGGTTAGTAAACGATCTAATGTGGGTAAAACAATGTCATACACCACCCATGACTGGGAATGGTTTATAGCACCTATTTATGGTGATGACTGGGGGATGCGTATTGTTTACCCACATTATAAGATTCTATAACTGGGGTTTAGTGAAGTAGCCATATCAGCACAGGCACATGCTATCCCAATCCCACCTAAAACTTGTTACTTCATATTATGGTTACGCTATCTCACTATACAACTGTGTCCTGCACATCCCAGGGCTGTTGATCATTGGACAAGTACCGTTTCTGTCGAAAGCCACATCATGAATGACATCAGATTCAGATTTTGTATCCTAAGTTTGGATCATTTAAGTCATCTTCCTAGTTCATCACCATTTGACTATTTTTCCAGTATCTCCTATCCCAATCCCGCCGGTCACTGGCTATTTCACATGGTTACAGCCAGCAATATTATAGCTATCTTGCTACCTGCCAGGTCAAGTTGAAGAACTGGTTAAGTAAGCCTGGTGAGTTAAGTCCCCTAAGCTGCACCAGGCCCACCAGGCCCACCAGTCCCACCAGGAGCCCTGTCCCCAAAGCGGGTCTCCACTGAGGTCCGGGCAAGCCGAGCCCTTGATGGGCCCCCAGGGGCTGGTGCCCCAGCTATCGGCCCAACAGGTGCAGCGCATGGGGCGGATGCCGCTGCTGGCGCTGGGGGCCTTGGCACCAGCCACGCGGTATGTGGAGAAGATGGGACTATGACCATCAGGTTTGAAACATATGATGTATATATATATATATAAATATATGTATGTATGTATGTATGTAATGTAATGTAATGTTATGTTATGTTATGTTATGTATGTATGTAATGTATGTATGTATGTATGTATGTATGTATGTTATGTAATGTAATGTAATGTAATGTAATGTAATGTATGTTATGTATGTGTGTATGTATGTGTGTATGTATGTATGTATGTATGTATGTTATGTATGTATGTTATGTATGTATGTTATGTATGTATGTTATGTATGTATGTATGTATGTATGTATGTATGTATGTATGTAATGTATGTAAGTAATGTATGTATGTATGTATGTATGTAAGTAATGTATGTATGTAATGTATGTATGTAATGTATGTATGTATGTAATGTAATGTAATGTAACGTAATGTAATGTAATGTAATGTAATGTATGTTATGTATGTGTGTATGTATGTATTTATGTATGTATGTATGTATGTATGTATGTAATGTATGTATGTATGTATGTATGTATGTATGTAGTGTATGTAATGTATGTAATGTATGTATGTAATGTATGTAATGTATGTATGTATGTATGTAATGTAATGTAAGGTAAGTATGTATGTATGTATGTATGTATGTATGTATGTATGTATGTATGTATGTATGTATGTAATGTATGTAATGTAATGTAATGTAAGGTAAGTAAGTATGTATGTATGTATGTATGTAATGTATGTATGTATGTATGTATGTATGTATGTATGTATGTAGTGTATGTAATGTATGTAATGTATGTATGTATGTATGTATGTATGTAATTAATGTATGTATGTAATTAATGTATGTATGTATGTATGTATGTATGTATGTATGTATGATTGTTGTGTTTTTTGGATATTTGGGAGTATTTAACAATTTTATCGTTTTTCTTTGGGATGTAACCGGATATGAAACCATATGAAACCAGCAATATGATATTTGGGTATGTCCAGAAATTGGAATCTACTACTGGAATAGACATGGCCATGAGAAAAATTAGGGAAATGATGGTTTTCAAGCGACAAATCCATGAGCCAAACTCTGGCGGATGCAAGAGATGCCCAGGTGGGTTGAGACATGGTTGGATTGGAAAATAGCCATTGAAAGTGGTGATTTACCCATTAAAAGTGGATTTTCCATAGTTATGTTATGTTTGTTTACCAGAATGTAAATAATATGTGGGTATATAACATTATAATACATTATATAACCCAAAAGATCGAGATCATGTTTTGGAGTTCTGGGAAGAGGCATTCTGAAGTCACCAAAGCAGATGCATCACATCTGTGGCGTCTCCCAGAAACGAATTGATCAAGGCAGGGGAAGATCCACCATTTATAGATCATTTTTGCAGCTAGAAACATCCATTGATTGGGAATTGCCCAGCCAGGCACGTTTGATTACCAGAGGGTATCCCTCGATATCATGATACAAAATCACAAAAAAAAATACCTGGAGAGACAGTGATAAGTTATAAGTTATATATGCGTAACCAGGTATAAATATGTATAAATCATCAATTTTCCCCTATGCTTGACCCAATTAGAAATGACGGGATCGATGGAATGCCAACATGGCCCCTCCATAGTTCCCAAAGGATCACATCCCTACTTGGATGTGCATCCCAAGCATAGCAAGAGATACGGGGGTTGCCCCAATTATAGAACGGAATGAGGAGTACAAAAGTACGGTAAAATGCCGTACTTTCGTTCTCCTCCGGATCCCGATTCCGCGTGGATTCGGATCCTGTTCTATTATGAATTTTGGGCTGTTCTATAACTAATTTGGCCCTTCTATAATTCTGGCACTGACTGCTTGGGCTTAGATATTTTTTAGATACCCTCATATGTACATATTACACAATACATCTACTGTGGACGTGGGGTACCCTTTGCGAGCTCCTGAAACGCATATTTTTCTATAAAGAGTGGTAAGAAACTGAACAATTCAGAGGACCCGCCATTTTTTTTTGCAGATAAGACAGCGTTTTTTGTGATCATTTCCTCCGTCATTCTGCGCTTTTGCTTTTGTTTTTTTCCAAATGGACCCCAGGTATTCTTGTGAATGCTTTTTTTAACCTGATTTCAGCAAGATGGCCCCCAAATTCTTAAAGGGTTGACTAGGGTTGCCATGAGGTACATAAGAGCAATGACTTTCCCACTCAATGTGTTCTGTCCAGAATTATGGAAAATAGATGAAACATTTGTATATACCTGCAAACCTGCAAAATCCAACATACAGGTTTCGAAACATGCATGCACGAACACGACCTACAACTGGTGTTTTTCCATACGTTTTTCGGCAATTCTGTCGACGAGTACGGTAAAAGACGTAGGAGAAACAGTGGCTGTTTGTATGCACCCTGTGCGGGAAAAAGTAATTGTAGAACAGCGATGCAAAATGTTGTAAAACTATATTATGATAATGATATGTATGTATGTATATAATATTATTTGATTATATGTATTACTGTGTTTTTGCATTACCAACAGAATGTTGTAGATTTCCTTGCAATGTGTGCTTCCAAAACCACCATGTATGAAGGTTCTGCGGGGAATTATCGCAAAATGTGTGCATACAGACCTACAAAATCCCACAAACATGTGTGCATCCCAGATACATTTGCTGTTGTTTCATCCGTTTTTTGGCAATTCTGTCGACGAGCACGGCAAT